GCAATCTTAGTTTACAGGTTCGATACTCAATCTTTTATGAATTCGAATTTGCAGGATTAGTTGACTTTAAATATTGATAACATGTGGTCCTCTAATAAAGTGAAGGATTGGGGGATATTTTCTTTACTACTTGTTGGTTTTTGTGAAAGTGGAGAAATTTGGAGATCCATGAAGATCATTTCTGTCATGATGAGCAATCGCAGGCTTCAATTTGGATGTTTGTCCAACAAATTCTGCAAGCCTGAATTTATCAGCGCCGTGGTGATTCCAAGGATAGCGTTTGGATAGTCCCCAAGCAAGGGTGGGTTAAGTTGAATTGTGATGGAGCTTCTTCTAGTGGCAAGAAAAAAGCTAGTTGTGGTGGTATATTAAGAGATCACAATGGATCCTTTTTGGGAAGCTTCTATTGTAATTTAGGTTCATGCAATTCTCTTGATGCAGAATTATAGGGATTACTGAAAGGTTTGGAACTGATTTGGGGTACAGGATTAAAAAGAATAGAGCTAGAATGTGATTCTAGCCAAGCCATCCAAATGTTAAAGGAGCAGCATGAAGATCCTAAGGACTCTCAAGTCACTAGTAGATTGAGATTATGGTTAAAAGCATATTGGACTATTCATCTTGTTCATACCAAGAGAGAAAACAACAAATGTGCTCATTGGTTAGCTAAAGCTGGACAGACTGATAATCTTCGTTTCAAGATTTTTAAAGATCCTCCTCCTCAATTGATGGAACTTATAGTTGCTGATGCTAGAAATATGTCTAGCTTATTAGTTTCTGAATTGTAATTTCTTTCTGTTTCTAGGGCTTAGCCCCTCTTTATTTACAAAAAAAATAAAATTGATAGTCCCGAACCATCATTAATTTAGTGGTCCAAACCAATTAAAATGAGACAATTATTGAAAAGAGGAAAAAGAGGAAAAATAAAAAATAAATTTTTATACAAGTATCACTCACTGAAAGAAAGGACCACGTAAGATCTGTAGCACCAAAAAATTTCCGCAAAATAGATTTTCATTCGTTCGTGTATGCATAGGACAGAGACTTATTTGCAGATCGGTCTGGATTTGCGATCATCAGAGGGTGACTAATCCCACAAGAGACAGCTAGTGGGCCCTTTCAGATTTTTTTTGTTTTCTCTCTTTTCCTTACTTATTATTATTATCATTATGATATAAAGGAGGAGTGGGGTAGACTTAAAAATGGGGAGCGGAGCAAGCTAGAAATTTTTCGATGGTCTAGGACTCTAGGACATTAATTATTGGACGGTCCTTTTGTGAAAATGTGAAAATGTGAAAAAATAATTCGCTTATTCTTTTTTTTTATATTCCAAATTTTTTAAAAGGATCACTCAATAATTAGTAATCTTAAACCACCCAATGGTTAATGAATCTGGATCACCGAAAAAAATTTCCGGACCTAGGGGGCTGGGAAATCTTACGGTAAGAGTCACTCTGCAGCACTTGAGAAACACAATTACAAAGACATTTCTTAGACAAACAGTTATCAATTACAACTTTGTGACTTAATTCATCAGAAATTCTACATTATTATTATACTTTTTAGTTAATCAATATTTAAAATATGAGCTTGTTATTAGTAAATTGATTAATCTAATTAAGTCATTATCAACCAACTTTACAGGTGTAGAAATGGTGCGGTCATTTTAGGTCTACACAACATTTTGAGGTTAATTTTTTTTATATTTCTCGTATTGCAGTAAATAATTTTATTTCTATACACATATAAAAACAATGTTATCAGAACTGAGTTGGTTATTGACCTGGTCAGAGTACTGGGTCTTGTGTCAATGATTTAACTGATAGGTCACTGATTGAACTGTATGATTCGAATATGTGTGTGTGTGTTCATCAACCGATCCAAACCGATTCAAATCGCGGTGACCGAACTGAAAAACCGATAACCGAATAAACTGAAAATCGAAAAACCAAAAACCGATTAAAAACCACAAATTTTAATTGGATTGGATCGGTTTTTGGATGGGTTGATGAAAATCGATCCAATATATTAATTCCTCTCTACCTATTGGTCTTTCCCTAATCATAGCCTAAAAATTTCTAAACCTAAGACCCATTAGCCCATTCACTAAACTCAAAAAAAAATTTAGTCACATCTCATCAACAAAATTTTATCTTTGTAGAGCTTCATATCTCATTACCAACAAAAAAAAACTATATTATAGTTTATTAATGCTTTTGTATTTCAAAAAAAATTAATTTACAAAGCCAATATATACAAAAGATATTATTTGCACAATAATCATGAAATAAATTTTAGGATTTTTAAAAAACCGAAAACCGATCCAATCCAAACCGAAAAAAATTGGATTTGATCGGATCGGATTTGAAAACAAATCAAAACCGAATGGATGATTATATGATCAAACCGAAGGGATTGGATCAGATGAATTTTGCTTCCAAAACCGATCCAATCCAGACCGCGAACACCCCTATGTGTGTGTGTGGGGGGGGACTACTCTTATGTTACATGTGACAAATTTCTCATACACACATTTCGATAACTGTGCCACATTTTTCTTTTCTTTTTGTTTTTTAGGTGGTGGAGCCCATAAATTTATCTCTGTGACATGAAATATCTTATCACCTTTAACATGAGATTAATAAAATCATATATATATATATATATATTATACATAATTATATAATAAATATTTTAAATAGTGGAATTCTAACAACAGTCTGATTGATCCCTACTACATGTAATTTTTATAATAGTTGTATTAACTTAATACTTATACTTATATAATAAACATATTAAGTAATGCACATTATTCAACAAATGAAAATAGGCTAGTGACAGAAGGTGGCGCCTTTCACTCCAAAGGACTAGGTCACTTGTCGATATTGGATCGAATGCTTAAACGGTTCAATGCTGGAACTAGAATGATTTTCGGGCCAACCGGTTGGATTGGTCGGATCGATCCGGTTTTATAACACTACATAAAAATATATGAAATTATATATATATATATATATATATATATATATATATATATATATGAATTCTATATATATGAGGGAAAAAAAAGAAAAAAAAAATATAAATTTCACATACTTTTTATATATGTATATGTATACAAAATAAAATTATCTCTTATAATATAAATATAAATGAGATTAAACTCTTTAGTTTTCAGCTTTAACAAACAAAACCCACTTAAAGCGTTTTTACAGCCATCGAATTGCTTTATACTTTGTAGTACAAGATGACCAGACGGATCGGATTAAACATAAAACAGTCCGTGGAGTGATTGACATTTGGCACATTACGACGGAAGTATCTTTGTAACTTGGGTTGTTATGTTGGTGCTGCTTGTGGACAGCTTTTTATATCTGTCAAAGCAAAAGCCAAGCGAGTATAAAGCTCGGTTGATTTGCTCTGTATAGAAATCCAACAGTAACACAGATACCTATTGGTAGGTATTATTTGTAAACAACTAATTCTAAAACAAAAATTTAAGTTTCTTATATTAATAATTTTATATTTTTCTAATATTTTACTGGAAAGAAACCTCGAAGGCAGGTTACAATAGATATTATATGTAAAAATGTTATATTTATCTTATTTCACACGAGATAAATAACTTTTTTACACACATAAAAAAATTGTGTTCCATCATTTTTTTTTCTGTCTTCTTATTTGTGAGTCTCATTTGTAATTTTACTTTTACAATGTGAAGTAACTACTTACCTACAGCATAAGAAAAGTATTTCTCGTGTAAAAAACACTTAACATGTGAATGTAATCACTAATAACTAACTTCCATGCGCCGAAAACTTTCGCTGCAAAAACTTTAGATACATCTATATTAAAAGGGAAAAAAAAAATTTGACTTAAAAGAAATTATAAAAAAACAATGGATAAAAATGAAAAAAAAAAAAATCTTTTTAGTAAATGGAATACCCGAATACCGCGTAGCAATAAAAAAAATCTCCGTCCGCAGGGATGCCTGGCTTATCACCTATACACGTAGTCACCCTACTGGAAGTGGAAGGGACGGGATTGGACGTGTCATTTTCATAAATACTGACCAAGCAAGCAAGCTTCTGCACAAAAGATCACCGCAATCAGATGGCCATAAGCATATATAATTCTGTCTCATTGTTAAGGACATTTTGATTCCTGGTCTGATTGACCACTACTTGATCCTTTGAGCAGAAGATGTACCAGATAGGACCCTAGCATTGGTGCCTTCATCTGTTTTCATGTGAGTCACGTACACTTAAGCTAAGCCATTTAGTGTCCCAACTCTGGGACAATGATCATATTATTACTTTTTCGGCAAAAATTTATTTGATTGTCACGTTTAAAATTTATTTTGTCAAAATGACACATCACAATCTCACTAGTCTGACAAACGAAAATGGACTGGACACGTGTTAGTGTCTGAATGGTCAACCATTCTCGCTGGGCTGCTCAGCTAGAATGACAGAATGCTGACACGTGGCAAAAGTACAGACATTATCTAGATGCTTATACTTTTGTCACGTGTCAGCATTCTGTCATTCTAACTGGTCAGCCCAGCGAGAATGGTTGACCATTCACACGCTAACACATGTCCAGTTCATTCTCGCTTGTCAGACCAGCAGGATTGTGACGTGCCATTTTAACAATTTTTTTTTCCAGATATGACAATCAAGTAAACTTTTATTAAACGGGTGGCACAGTGATTAATGTCTCCCCAACTCCCAATTTGTCTAAACTCTAATCCGCCTCGAACTTATTAAGGGTGTATTGGGTTATGTTTAGAATGAATAAAGAACTAATTGGCCTTGGCACCTGAAAAGCTATATTTAAAGCCATAAAATACACATAAGTGGTAGCATCCAAAGCTTTAGTTCTGCATCATTTTCTTAATATAAATGAAAACCTCATCTATAAGAGATCAAACGAAAATAAACTACACCCAAATGATAAAATGAAAGAAATATGGGAGAAAATTGCTTCATAGAGATCACTTAATAATTTCCACTTAAAGAGAAAATTGAGAATAATATCATAAAAATTAATGTACAAAAATTTAAAAAAGGGTGAAAAAAATAAATACTAGTTGTTATAAATCTCAACACAATGATAATGTTGAAGAAGCCTATTGGCTTCCCTAAGACCACTGAGGTAAGCTCCATGGGTTGTAGAATACTGGGTTCTGTGAGTTGCTTCCCCTGCAAACAAAATTTGAAGAGGTGGTGAAGCAAAAGGGTGATCTTTTGGCAATGGCTCCGCCATTGTATCTAAATCATCACCACTTGATCCAACTGCCACATAACTGTATGAGCCTAAAAATAACGGATCTGTTCCCCATTGACTCTTCAAGACTTTACTGAATTTTACTTTATTTTCGTGAGAGTTCTCCTCAGAATTCACATTCCCATTGCAAAACTTACGAGAACCAGAACCCCTTTGCCTGGGGGAATGCGACAGAAAGCATGAAACTGTCGTTGAAACCCCACTAATGATCTCGTCATCTTTGACTGACTCAAGTGCTAGTGCTTCTTCCCCGGCAAGCCAACATAGGAGGACACTAGAATTGTTGTATATGGGACAAAGGGTAGGTGTCCTCCTCATCCACCAGGGTATTTTCTTAAGCCTCAACTCAGAGTGTGGTGAGTGAAAAACCATTTGCAGGAAGGGGAACCCTTCCGAGTGTTCATCTTTTCTTTCATGTGTTGAACTCAATTGCATAAACAACTTATTAACAACACCAAAACCAAGCCTTGAAATTGCCTCAGCCTTGAAAGGGGGCAGAGGGGGGAAGAACATACCTGAATCATCACGAATAGCAGCTTTAAGTACTCCCAGTGAAACCGTGACAATGACATGATCCGCAGACATGACAGAGCCATCACAGAAATGTAGCTTCACTGGCCTAGAACAGTAACCATTTTTCATATTCATATTCTCATGTCTTTCGGGCTGCCATTCAATTCTTGTGACTTTTCTACCTAACTGAACTAACCCAGGTGGTAGCACAGATGCTAAGGATTCAATTATGCTCATGTAACCTTTTGCAATAGTAATTTCTTCACCTGGAAACATTTGGTATTCACTCTCAGCGCTATAATCTAGAGTTAACAGGTCACCAGAAGATGTATACGTCCTCAGGGTGTTCTCATGCATTGCAAAGATTGCTTCATCAAGTAACTTCCTGCTCCATTTTCCATACCCTTTGAGCTCCTCTTCCTCTTTTGCTGAAACCAAATAAGCACCAAGGCCTTGTCTGAGAAAAGAGCCAACACTATGGTTTCTAGAGTCACCGTTAGTTGTTGACATCTTGGAAGCAGCTTTAGCAAGGAGCTTATAATAACTGTGAAGTTCACTTTTTGCGTAGTCTTCAGTCATCTTCCCCTGAGCATGATCCATCAAATTCTTGAAAAGCTTTGTGATGGGGTTAACAAGGGAAGGGTTCAGCACAAAGCCACCTTCAGCAATGGAGGTGGGTTCAACCCAGTTTCCATTCCCATCCATGCACTCCCAAGGCTGCTCAGACTCCAATGAATGGATTTGTTGAGCAATTTTGTGAATTGGGCTGCCTCCAATTCCATGGATCCAAGTAGCACCCATCTCAATCCTGTCACCACCAAACTCTGATGTGTTGATTCTACCACCAATCCTGCTTCCACCTTCCACAACACACAGCTCAAACAAGTCTTTGGAGCCAGTCACAGTATAGAGCTTGTTGGCAGCTGCAAGGCCTGCCATTCCTGCTCCTACTATCACAATCCGTGGTTTCTTGACCACCATTGTTGCTACCTTGCTCTGCTTGTTACTCTATCACACGGGCTTGGGAACAAAAATAATAATAAAAACAATCACAGGGAAGGAAAAAAATGTAAACTGAGTGTTACAATACAAAGGATACTGGTATGAAGGTGAAATTTGAGTTAATAATGTTGAATTTATAACTAGGCTCTGTGCTGCGTCACCGAATGGGCTATTTAGTACCACAATTTTTTTTTTTGTACAATCAATTAAGCAGACAGGTGACTAGGTGACTGACTTTGTTGTTTCGTTATAAAATTCAGATGTTTATGTTTGTTTGTTTTTTTTTGAAAGAAAGTTATTAAACAAAAAAAAATTCGAAGTAGGCTATTATTACTAAGTTTCAAAATCAAGTTCTAAGAACAGATACGCAATCACTTAATTAAAGGACTTCGTTTGTCTTTTTCTATATCTTTTCACACGTTATAATCATAAGATAGCATATCATCGCTATCTTTCTTTTCCATGTCTATTTTAGATATTTTTTTAGCATTTAGATCACAATAACAGAAGAGCCCATTATAACGTCAGATACATGGTCAAAATGAATTAAGCTACAAACTCAGAGTAATAAATGGGCTCAAATAACATGTCTCAATTCAAAATTTTAAAATATTAGTTTTATGAATCTTTCTATTTATATGATTCTTACTTAACATGTTTTTAACTAATGTAAAATTTTACTACTCACACTTGAATCTCAACTTTAAATATCTTCTGTTTAAATAACCTATCAATCAAAATATCAAGATTCACCCAAAATTCAGAAATTCAAAATATTTTCCTTCTTTGAAATCCTAGTCTCGCTTTTTTTCTATAAAAAAAAAAAAAAAATCCTTTTAATTTTGTCAAAATTTAAAAGTCTGAATCATTTAAATCATTTCCTATCTCAATTATTTTAAACCTTCAATTATTTGAGTAGAAAATGAGGATTTAGGGTTTTAGGTAGCGTAAGATAAACAAAAAGATTGTTGCAGGACCAAAATCACACGTTAGTAAAAAAAAAAAAAAAAAAAGTGCAATTAAGCCTAATGATAAGAAGCTCAATGTCTGCTCTGCTTTTATCTCTCTACACTACAAACAAAGAAGCTCAAACATTATTCTCACTTTGAATTTGCTATGTCTGAAAGATCCTCTTCATCTTCAACCAAGCCCCACTGCAATAAATGTCAAAGAGTGAGTAATAATTCAGAGGCAGTTACAATGGGGAAAACAAACAAAACAATGATATTTTTATTTTTATTTTTGTTAAATTTTTTGTATCTATTTAACTATAATAGCGTGACGCATCTTTATTATATTATTATTGTAACTCGTGTCGATTGTCAATTATGATTTGTCATGGATCCTGCGCAATTGCGCATACATATATAGGATTTTCCTTTGTTTTTTTTTATCTTTTCTAGAGAGAATAAAATAAAATAGAACAGGTAATAGAAGATAATTCTTTTTTTTTCTTATTAAGCGAAAGGAAATTAAGTCCAGAAAAGTAACTGAGTAATTCTTTTTAAAATCGAATATAAATAGATTTCTCATTATTCTTCCCCATCCAAACCTAATTCTATATGGAATATTGTAATTTGGCTTGATATTTTTAAGTTATTGACTGATGATATTTTGAATAGTTTATATTTTTCTCTAACATATCCCTTTACACAATAGACTTTTGAGCTTGAAACATGTATATTACAAAAATCAATCTTATATCTTCAAAAAAAAAAAAACAATCTTATTTAATTCTACTAGAAAGTGGAGGCGACGAGAATTGAAATAGTGATTGAAGGTCTGATACTATATAAAAAATTAATTCAACCCAAAAGCTTAAACTATTAGATGATAATTTTTTTAATGATTTATATTATTCTTTATCAACGTCTCACCTCAATTTTAAGCTATGTACAATATGTTTGCCTGATTTCTTAGCTTTAATTTTGTGCTCCCGATGCACATTTCAATGAGTGAGGAGTGAGGAGAGAGAAAAATATTTTTTCCATGAGTATCACATTTTTAGTGAAAGGAACACCATGGGTCAGGATGACATTAAATTTTTCCCTTATTTCTGCTTTTGTTGAGTAAGAGACAAATGATTGAGATGCATGTCTCACCTCAATTTGACAGGCAGTGATTCATTTGAGAACGATCGTGTTGGACATGGAATGGCAACAAAAGTGGCAAAGGATTGCAATCACATATATCGATTGTTGTGGGGTCTCACTTCCATGTGGCTTACACCACTGAAGTATCCTTACACATACATATACAATGGTCGCGAAATTTATCAGACATTCCAGAAGAGCAGTTTTTCCTTCCTTATCTTTTCGTGGGATTTAAAAGCTCTGTCCCGTTGTTAAACAAATCAGCTTAGGGAGGGACTAGTGTATGTTCTAAAAGAGCCCAAATCAATTCTGATTCAAAATACAAATCATAAACAACGACTTTATTCACTTTGGAGTTGGATTCTGCCGAAACTCTTACACTTTTAGGTAAATATATTTTTATAAATAAAGAGTTAAATTCACGGGTACTGGTTCACAATTCAAAAGTTATTATTTATTACTATTAAAGTGAGACTCGCATTGTATTTTTTGTGTGCTGTGTGCATGAGAAAATTTCTTTCTCACATAACATGAAAAAAATAATACCCTAAGAGGCTGTTTGGTATGGGGTAATATAGTGAATGTCCAGGAATTATGAAGTTGGAATTATTTATGCACACATTTGGTAGAAGGAAATCAGAAAATATGATCGGATATAGTTTAATTCCTGACATCTATTTTACACTATTATTTCTGATTTCTGATTCCCCTTTAGAAGATGGTAATCCTAAGTTCTCAGTTTTTGAATATTTTGGATGCAATTTCTCAGACTATATTACCCTCTTAATTAAGAACCTTGACAAATATAACTTGTCAATGCGTGAAAGAGTGGACTACTATCAGACAAGGCAGCACATGGTATATTATTTTGTGAGGATGATATTTTATTTTATAGTTGCTGCCTATATCAGTTGTTTGTGTTCAAAACTAATATTTTCCTTTAAAACAACATAAATAGTTTTTAATTTGTATAAATAATTGTGTTTTGTTACTTATTCTTGACAAGGGTACTTTTGTCAAATTTTATCATATTCCCAGCAATATTATGTTTTCAACCAAATACTCATTCACTAAAACTAATCTATATTCTTGGTAATATTTTGTCCTACCAAACATTTTTTCATAAAATTTCCAGACAATTTTTGTTCCAGCTATATTCCAAGTAATCGTGATTCCAGGATACAAAAAAAAATTTCCTGTAACAAACGCCCTGTAAAATTATTCGTAAAAAAGTAAACCCAAGGCATAAGATTCTTGAGCCATTTACTTTCTTATTCGATTTGTTTGGATCGGCTTTTTCTATAACATAAAAATTATATTGTATGTAATAAAAAATAAAATCCTAACCCTAAATCAAAGACTCTCCTATCTTGGCTATTTGACCCATTTAGGATTAAACCATAACCTATTTTCCCGTTTGGTGTTGGTGGAAATATAACTCTCGGGGGTGGTCAATCTCGCGACCCTTCTCCCACGAAACTCATTTTTAATTTTTCTTTTATTTTCAAATGAGAATAATAAGGAATAGGTGATTAAATTATGATTTTATACAGTCATTAATATCTGTAGGAGCTTGTAATTTGTAATTAGTGACTATAAATTTAATTATTTACTATATGTTTGTAGTGTAATTTGTAATTTTTAGTAGTGATTAATATTTATTAATTGTTATAATTAGTGAATAGTGATATTTTTTTATTTCAATATTTAATTAGTATTTTTTAAAATAATTATGTGTGAATTATTTTGGTTAGGATTGCTATTTAGGATTTAGTGATTAGAACATATTAGTTGTTGTAATTAATAAACAGTGATGATTAATTTATAAATAAATATTAAATTATTATTTATTATTGATTACATATGATAATCCATATGAAAGGTGTCTTCATCCCGATTCCTACAACAACCAAGCGGTATTGAGTATGCAATCTAGACACAGCTTAGAGACTGTGTGGAATGAGTCTACAAATTAGAAGAGTTTAATCATTAAAAGTGGTAGATTAGCAGGTAACCACTAAGTCAAATCATTTGATTGTCCTATTAGTTCTATTTATATATTTATAATATATTTTTACATAAATTCAATTTAAGTAATTCAATCAGTGATCACCGATACCTAATCGAGTCAATATAACATCGTATAAAATGAATGGATCCGTTATAAAGAGAAAAGTGTGAAAATTTTGATGAAATCCAATTACTTTTATGTAAGTGTCGTATGGAGTAAAAATAAAAATATTAAACTCTCTTAATATTATATTTATCCAAAATAATTGAGGTAGATAAGTTTAAATAAAAATCAATAAAATATTAAAAAGATAAATAGAAAGATAAAAATGACAATAAATAAATAAGTTAATTTAGTGTGAACTTTTTCACGTGAATTTCGCAATCACATATAAAAATGGTGAAGCTTTATTAATGTATAATATAACTTTGTTTCATTCGTAATGGATACTTTAGTCGTTGAACATTACTAATTATTTTATTTGGTCGATTTTATATAAGATGAATTTTATTAGAAGATGATAAACTAATATATATTTTTTTATACCAACTTTAATTATCTCATTAAAGTGAGCTAGTCGTTTACATATTTCCACAAATTTTAACTCTTTGAGCTCCCTTGAGTTAGACTAATGCTTTTGTGCATGTGTACAACCTCCTATGTTGCCATGTGCATGCAATATGGGTTGAGCCCGATCCGCCAACTCGTCAAAAAGGGACAGGTTGGGTTGAAGTTTTCAACCTACCAACTCACTTCAATTCGCTCCGCCTAAAAGTGAGTCAAAACGGGTTCAACCCGTCGAGTTATATTTTTTTATTTTTTTACAATTAAGTAGTATTTCATTTGTCATTAAGCTTTTGTAATATCCAAAAAAAAATTATCTTAGTACTTTCTAGAAAAAATAAAGAAGAACAATTTTATTTATGACAAACGTTATCTATATATGGAGACAAATGATTTTCTAAAGAATATTTAACTGAATATTAGTATACATTTAAAATTGAGACTGAAAAAATTAAGATTAGTGTAAAATAAAATAAAATAATATTATAAAAATTCATAAAATATAATTTATTTTTGAATTTTAATTAAATTTGTTTTTAATTTATGGGTTGACCTGTCAACTCACCATAAAACGGAATGAGTTCATTTTTTCAACCCATATTTAATGGTGGGCCAACCCGTCCCTCCTCATTTTTAGCGGATCGGGATGGGCCAACCCAAATTGTCACCCCTAATCCAAGAAGTGCTTTTTCGGATAGTACCAACATTATTTCCAAACAAGAATAAAAAAATTAGGATTTAAAGCCAAAAAAAAGATGGATTCAAATAGTATAAAACTTTGCTCATTTAAAAAAAAAATGCCCCGAGTTGATTACTCTTATAATACCAAAAAAAAAACCCCGAGTCCAAGTCACGCTATCATCTCAAAACACAATCAAAATAATATTTTTTACACACATTATTCGTTCCTTAGAGTCCTTTTGTTAAGCAGAAAATGGTTGAGCATATAAATGAGCGGAGTTTTGGGGGGGAAAAAGAAGTTAAAATTGATTTAAATACAAACTCGGTTTTAGCAACAACAACAAAAATAGTTGTTTTCTTCAGTAGTCAAGCAAACTTGTTTAAGAAAATCGAATCTAACCAATTCAGACAAATGTTAATTGGGGTCAGTTCATTGAATTGAGTTGGCCTTTAACAAGTGCTCTTTAACCAATTCAATCTAACCAACTCAATACCAAATGCTCTTTAACAAGTGCAATAAGGGCACTCCTCACTAAAACCGTATAAATATTTAACTATTTCGAAACTTGTGTTTGCAGTAAGACTTTCAGACATTATGAAAAAAAAATCAAATATCAGAATTTATGGCAAAACACAGGAACACGGAAACAGAGAGCACTTCGAGGCCCAATTATAGGTTGTTCAGCCCAAAGGCCGAGAAAGACATGAGGTTTGACAGCAAAATTTTGGAACCATTCATATGGGTCCATGACAAAACATGGGGAACGAGGAATACTATTACTATACAAATCTATATTAATAAATGGTTGTTGGCAAAATTTTGGAACCATTCATATGGGTCCAAGACTAAGGTTCGGTTACATTCTTCACCAAGTGCTGTCTCACGACTGTCTATCTTTTAAATTATTGAATCTTGTTTCATGTTACACAATACGAAACAAATTTCAATAAAATTAAAAATCATAAATATTTTTTTTGTCAGGAATTAAATATCAATAAATACTTTTTAAATAATTTACTTAGCTATTTGATTACATATAATTAGTACTTACATTTTATAAGTATCACTTTTATTGAAACCTGTTGCATGAAACAACACAACCTTTCCCCCCTAAAATAAACTCTCCGGTTGAAAAATAAAAAATAAAACTGACAGTGATGGAGAATGTGAGGAAATATTGAAAAGAGCGATTCCTTTTGGTCAACATAAACAGTAGGAACGGTTTTTTTTTTTTTTTTTTTTAAATAAGATAAATGCTAGTCTGTAATTATATCAGTATGTGAGAAAAAAAGCTGCACGCAAGAATGTGAAAAGGAAAGTAGAAAGCAATGTATCATACAAGAAAGAGGAAGAAGAAACTGATAGTGATGGAGCAATATCGAAATGAAAGACAAGCAGATTTCCATTTTCATTTTTCTTTTGTATTCTTCTATTCACAGTGTCAAAACAAACAAACAAACAAACCCTGTAATTGACTCACAGTCATTGGCATTAACTATCAGATATTCACAACCATTAGCATTCCTACAACCAAAACGGAATAAAGTGAAATCGCCCAGCCGTTCAAACTTCAAAGTAAAAGATCCTCACCGATCCCTAGAAATGTTGCTAGTACCTCATCGTCATCGTCATCGTCCTCCACCGCTTTGCCTTTGGGACTCAACCTCAAACCGCTCATGTCAACGCTGGCCATGACGGAGGTGCCGGAATCGGAAAACGACGAGCCACAACTCTCCTCATTGCCGTTTATGGTGATATACGACGAGGAGGATTGAAAAACCAGGAGGGAAGAGTAGGGATTATCAATGAATGTCACCGCTACTTCCAAGGTAAGATTATCGTTCTCTAATAGACTGAAAAGATCGTCGTCATCTTCTTCGAATCCCCAATTTTCGTCGTTGGTGTGGATGTTCATTTCAGTATATCAGTTAGCAGAGAGCAAAGGAGGAATGAATGGCGTTATAATAAGAATAAGAATAAGAATGGGGGAGTGAAAGAGAAATGAAAATGAAGTATCTAGATGATTCCAGACCCAACGTCTTTCGATGGATCCCACCCTAATTATTATTATACTATTTGATTTAAAAGATCAATGGACGCTTTGATGTGCCACGTGGGAACGACCATGAAGGTTGATGTGGCGCGTCGGAGAGTAGATAAACTCTCCGCCGAGTAAAAAGGCGCGACGCGAAGGGACATGTAACGAATAAAAAGGAAAAGGTCACGGCATCGTGTCCGTGCAGTACGTACGTAAACGTAACGCCCATCTTTTTTGAATGTGTGGACTGTCGAGGGTGTGGACCACACCACACCACAGTAACCTCCACCTCCAAACAAACGCCGTACTTTAAATTTTATCATTTTTTTATATAAATTTTAGGTAAAGTTGTATTTATAATTTTTTTCGTTTATAATATCTTGTAAATATATTTTAATTATTGATTTTTGTTATAATTATTGTTTTTGTAAATTAAACACATTGATTAATTATTAATTCATAATAAATAATAATTATTGATGGACGAAAATCAACGGTTAAAATATGATTATAAAAAATTATAAATAAAAATAGATTATAAGTATAAACTTTCTTCAAATTTTATCATTTTTAACACATTTGAAATTTACCTATCTTATTTGCAAATCACATTTTGGGCAACAATCGATACTGCACAGGTAGGAGTGTGCATGGAGCGGTTCATAATCGATTTTGACAAAGATCGAACCGAATCGATGTTAAACAATTTGGTTTTAAAATCAAACTGATTTTTTTAAAAAATCGGTTTTCAATTTTTCAAACCGGTTTGAAACGGTTTCAAAATCGATTTATGGTTAAAAACCGGTTTTGATTTAAAACCAGTTTAAAACTGGTTTTAATTCAAAACCGATTTTAAATCAAAACCAGTTATGAACTATAAACCGGTTATCAAGTTAAAAATTGATTTTACAACAAATTCAAAATCATTTTTTTTATGAATTGTGCTATTTTATATGATCAAGGGATTTTGTACAAGCACAACTTGCATTTGTCATCGACGCTTGATGAGAAGAACCACTAATTCAATGGCAACAAATTTCATTCTCAATCTTTCAGCCTTGCGCACATGATGATGATATAAAAAATTTGCGAATTAGAGGTATGGAATGAAATCCATGGTGTTTGTTTTAGTCGGCATCAAATCAAGAGACACAAGATACGACTTGTACTGTACATATACGCTAATTTATATGCTTTATCAGAAATGTTGTCCAACTTCCCCTAACATGACAAAATTGAGGTGCTTAAAATCTCCAACGCCATGGAATTCTTCGTGTTGAGTTCAAGTTTGAGATAAGCAGCTTGGTTTGATTATGGATAACCATTTATTTGTATGGTTTGGTTAATAACCAGTTTGCAGTTTTATATAAAACTGATTTAAAAAAAAAAATATGAAGCAATTTGATTATAAATTGATTTGGTTCTTTTGGATATTTTGAACATCCAGACACACAACTAAAAACGGTTCCTATTACCCACAAACAATGCATTCACTGTCTCATGGTTTGGGACCCAGCGTTACTCATTATAACGTGCTACCATTTGTATTTTATAATTTGTATATATGAAATAAGGATATGTTAATGGAAATGGATCCTATTATGTAAAAAAAAAGGATATGGTCATAAAAAGATTATAACTATACAAAGATTATGTAATTATTTATTTTAATATTTTTTCTCTTTTCTTTTATTATCATTTTTTTTATAACAATAAGGGGCATAGCCCCAAACAAAAACCAACAGAAAACAAACAAAAACTATAAACTATCCAGGGTCAATAATCCCATGGAGATCTTGATCAAAAAGATGAGCAAGCTGATTTGGCATGATTTGATGATGCCAAAATCCAGATCCTTTCTGAAGAGCAGACTTAGCTAACCAATCTGCACATGAATTTGCATCTCTAGGAATATGAGTAAGAGTAACCTCCCAGTCTTGAGCAATAAGTGCTTGTATCTTAGCCACGATGCGCGGCTGACAAGCTGCATTGCAATCTGCAAGAATAGAGAAAACTTTAGAAGAATCTCCTTCTAGTTCCACCTTCCTAAACCCCAATTGCCAGCATATCTCCAAACCTTTAAGGGTTCCCCACAATTCTGCCATAACTGGAGTACAAGCACCAATATGATACTCAAAACCACCAAGCCATAAACCATCAACAGAAAGGATTAACCCGCCACAAGCAGCCCTTTCGCCAATCCTTTCGATCGCTCCATCAACATTGATCTTCACCCAATTTACTCTCGGTGGTATCCACTTAACAGATCGGGTATTACTGGAGCTACCAGTCTGCAAAAGCTTCCTGCCCCTACTGTTGTACATCTCCTCAATATACATACGAATCAATTTCAACCCATGAGTGGGATGAGTGAAGCTAGAATCATGGACAATTTTATTTCTCCAACCCCATAAAAACCAACAAGAGATGAAGAATAAATCATGCCAATCATCTAGGCTCTCATGACCCCATGACATTGTAATATTCTTCTCAACCCTACCTCTCAAGTCGACGCTATAGAATGAGATCATATGATGAGGTAATACTAGATAGTCCCAGATTCCACGAGCATGCTTACAATCACGCAAGACATGGAGATTCGTTTCCAACTCACCAAGACAACACAAACAAAAACTGTGAGCACCACTCCAAGTAGTTGTGCGATCCTTAGTGAGAAGCCGCCCATGCATAATTATCCACATGCATGCTTTAACTCTCGGAGGACCATTCCATTTCCACAAGCTAGACCAAGTATTTTGCACCTTCTCAAGAGGGAAATTAAGCATAGAATAATAAGCAATTTTTACCAATGAAAAACCTACCTTCTTATTCTTCCAAATAACTCGATCAGGTCCAGCTGACTCGCAAGGAGTAGGGATTGCAGAAATTCTAGCAATAACATGGTCAGTGAAATATTGATGCATGTACGAATAATTCCATTGACCATCATTACTCACAAAATGGCTAGCAGGAAGATGCATATCATTCAACGTAGGCATTGATGTAGCAAGAGATATGAGACTATCTGATAGACCATGCCAATTATCTTTCCAGAATATCGTATCAATACCATCATCAATGTGCCAACGAGTTGCTTGAAGAAACGAAGGCCACACACTACACAGGTTTTTCCAGAAATATGAATCATAGGTTTTGTGAATCACCTCCCTTCGAAGATCCACCCCTCGCCTATATTTGCTGGATATAACACGAGCCCACAATGAGTGAGGCGAATTAATCAAATTCCAAGCAAGCTTATGAAAGAAAGCTCTATTTTGGATTCTAAGATTGATCACCCCTAAACCACCCATGCACTTAGGCTTATAAAGATTATCCCAAGCAACAAGATGAGTCCTCCTTTGATCATGTGTGTCATCCCATATAAAACCTCTTTGCAGCTTCTCAATTTCATCACAAATAGCTACAGGTAGCAGGCTGTTCTGCATCTGGAAGATGGGAGTGGCTGAAATAACAGAATTGGATAAAGTAACACGACCGGCAAAAGATAAGACCTGGTTACTCCACCCAGCCAGCTTATGCCGAATTCTCTCAACAACATCCGCATAATGGACTTTAGAAACGCGGCCATGCTTCATCATGGATCCAAGATATCTCCCAATATTGTGAGTTTTCTTGAAACCACACACTTGCATAATTTCATTAGCAATATGAGGATCCCTATTTTTAGAAAAAAATATTGGATTTTGGGATACTAACCTGTAACCCAGACATGGAGCTGAAAGTCCTCAAATAATCCAAGATAATATTGATTTGATCTAGAGAGGCTTCTGCAAACAGCATCAAGTCATCAGCGAACATGAGATGAGCAATTGTAGGGCCTTTAGATTCGGCTGAAATTGGCTTCCAGCTTTTATTATCAACAACATCCTGGATGATATGGGATGATTTTTCCATGGCTAGAACAAAAATATATGGTGATAGAGGATTTCCTTGCCGAACTCCTCTAGAAGGAAGGTAATCTCCAGCGATAGCTCCATTCCACAAAACTGATACCTTATCAGACTTGATGCAATTCATGATAAGGATTATAAGCCACTGTGGGATTTGGATTTCCTCCAAAACTTTGTGCACAAAATCCCAGCTTAACTTGTCATATGCCTTTTCCAAGTCAATTTTAATTGCCATGAAACATCTCTTACCTCTCATCCGTCTCATTGAATAGATCAGCTCTTGGGTGATGATAATATTATCCTGGATATGCCGCTTAGGAACAAAACTAGCTTGGAAAGGAGACACCATCTCTTCCATTAAAGGCTTCAGTCTGTTAACCAGAATTTTGCTGAGAATTTTGTAGGATACATTGCATAAAGAGATTGGTCGAAGCTGCTTCACACTTTTAGGTCTCTTGACTTTAGGAATGAGAACTAAAAGAGTAGTATTGACAAGATGGATTAGATTAGGATTCTGAAACATCATGTGAATATCATGAAGAATATGAGCCTTAATAAGATTCCATTTCCTTTGATAGAAAACAGCAGGGAACCCATCCTCTCCTGGAGCTTTTGAGCCATTGATGCTAAAAACAGCTTTTGAAGTTTCTTCATCAGCAAGATTATGAGACATATTTGGCAAGAGATCCACATTAAGAGAAGGTCAAGTATTCTTTGTTTTCACCCAGTCTCGAATATGTATATCTTCACAAAATAAATTACTGTAGAAATCTGTTGCCAGGTTCTGCAGTTGTCGAACATCCCTAACCCAAATTCCATCAGAATTCTTGAGCTCAAGAATCTTATTACAACTTCTTCTGGATGCTGTCTTAATGTGATAGAATTTTGTATTTCTATCCCCATCATTTATCCACTTTATTCTGGACTTTTGAAACCAAAGGATTTCTTCTTGAATAAAAACTGTATCGAGATCCCTCCTAAACTCTTTTTCTTTGGAATGAAGAGACAGATCAGAATGATAGTCAACATGCTTCTGAATTTCTTCGATACTGTTCAGCAGGTTAGTTTTCCTGCTGAAGATGTTACCGAAGACTGTCTTATTCCAATTCTTGAGCCTTGGCGTCAGGTCTTGCAGATTTGTTCTTGTATCCTTTTCATTATTCCAGCAACTATTTAAGAATCTTTTAAAATCATTTTTTGTAATATGAGAACATCCAAATCTTACGTTTAAACACAAGGTGTTGAGCCGTTGACATTCTTGATACGTATCGGATACGAGTACGCTTTGAATATATCTCGTATATACCGCATGCGTATTTATTCTTTGAAATTTATATTGGCATACCCGTATTTTATTTTATTTTAAAATGTCGTATCCTGTACTTGTATCCATACCGAATGCCAGTACCGTACCTGTACCGTTGCGACATATACTTGCATTTGATTTATTTATTTTTTTAAAAAAATTATCTGAGTTTGCATTTGATATTGAGTAGTTTCATTTATAAAAAAAGTGGTGCTATTTTGTGATACGAAATGTACCGATCTACAAAAAACAAAAACCAGGAGGTGAGAAAAAAAGGTAGGAGAGATAGAAATCAAAGGAAACCGTTGCAACCAAAACCATTCATGCAAAAATCACGAATTGGTTTCCGTAACACCTTGCATGATTATTATAAAAAGGTAAAAGTCCATACCAAAAAAAAGAAAAAAAAGAAGTTAAAGTTCATAAATTCCTTGTAATTTATTTTTTATCATTTACATCCCTATTTTTTTTCTTATTAGTTACTCTTGTGAATTTTTTTATCCAAGTCTACTTTTAAATTTGTTAGTAATTGAATTAATTTGGCCATTTTATTCCTATTTTACTTGTATAAAAAATTACTAATTAATCTAATATAAAGATTTGGGGCACCAACAACTATTTATTTTCTTCACAAAGACATAAAAATTAATAATGTGTGCTATCTCCTTCAAAGGTTTCACAAAACATCACCAAAAAAAAAAAAATTAACATTTGAAAATTTGAACATAATCACTTTTAATCAAAATTATCCTTCTTTTATTATTCCTAAACCAATCCCACATTGCTTGGCAAGCGACTATAATCTATGATGCACGGACACGGACATGGGACACGAGACACGACACGACACGACACCCCGATACGTTAATTCTAAAAAATGTTAAATTTTGACACGTTGGGACACGTTTTGATATTAAATAATATTTTTAATATATATAATATATTTTACATTTAATACATATAACAACTCATAATAACTCATATACTAATCAAACATACAAATTTCATAACATAATTATTAAAAAAAATAGAACATCCCAAGAGTGTAGAGTATAGAAAAATAAAAAAATTATTTCAGTTATGATAACACACAGATCAATTACATATATTCTTTAAAAAAAACTTTTGATTACAAATAAAATAAAATAAAAATAAAATAAGGGAACATATATTTACTAAATTTTAATGTCACCTAGCTTTCTTAATTGCAGAAGAGAGGGAGGGAGGGTATTATTGTCTTTCTGAAAATGGATACAAACACAAAAGGATCAACTTTATAAAGTTGTCTTCCTCCTACCCTTCTCTCTCTCTTCAATTTCCCAAACCAGAACCAGCAGCCGATGACGGAAATAAACCAGCGTTCAAACGATAGTGGTACATAAACCAGCGTTCAATAAACCAGTGGTCAATATAATTAGATTCAGCTTACAAGTACACCACGTCCTGTACCTTCTACAGTTTTTAATTATAATTTTATTTTATTTTAAAAAAAATCAAAACGTGTCCACATCATTGACCGCGTGTCGGATTCAGTCAAATTTGCGTGTCCCACTAGTCAACGTGTCCTCAAATGTTGACTACGTGTCGGACGCGTGTCCGAACGTGTCGGGACGTGTCCATCCGACACGCAAATTTTTTAAAAAACTTCGTGTCTGTGCTTTAGAGACTATAGTTATATTCTTTTTATGTTATCATAACAATATTATTTACTCGTCACTTATATTATTATTTTTATAATTTTATTCTACATTATATATATATATATATATATATATATATATATATATATATATATATCACTAATAGAAAATGACCAAATAGCAGCTGTTTTGCGACGAAAGTCTGTTCATTTTTTAGTTGCGAAGAAATGGACACACATTTTGTCGCAAAAACAAAAAATCTACGACAGGTGTGAGCGACAGATTTTGTTTCGACGATATAATCATGCGCAAAACTAGGGAGCCCATTTTGCGACAGTGGTGAGGATTTATCCGTCGTAAATTGCAGTGGATTTTGCAACGGTATTTACTATTATGCTTTTACGAAGGACTTTGCGACAATAAGTTGTGGGGAGCTCATTACATCTATTATACACAAAAGGCCGTTCTCGATCCCTATCATAATATTATATGCAATTACAAAAAATTAATGAAAGAAACGACATGGAGAAGATGACTGGTATGTATGCAATTAACAGCGTTTATTTGAATATACTGCCGAATCGAAGTAGAATGAAGGAAAAAACAAATGAAATTGCCGTAAATAACCTGACACCTATTTTATAAATCAAACATAGACTACTGACAAGATCCTTGGTAATGATATTTCATCTTCAGAAATATATAGTTCTAGGTCAGCTTCAAAAATGCAAAAGGTGTAGGAAATTTTCGTGTATATAGCACGCGTCAATATATAATCCTTCTTCTCTTTGTGTGTACAGAGTGTGCATGTATATATATCCATTCTTTTCTCCCCAGAAATCTCTAGTAATAATGCGTTTCAAACACTTCCTCCCAAGCAAGGAACTAAAAATTGATAACTTCTTCTATGCCTTTTGATAATAATGGGCGTTTGACCTTTCATTTCCTATCTTCCCTTTATTTCTACCCAAATTTTACGCAACAAATAGATCCGAAGCTCATTTTTCTTTCTTTTTATTTTTTTTAATTAAAATAATAATAATGATCAACCCCTTCGACATTTCCGAAAGATACAAAAACATGCATATCTACCGGACGGGATAAAAAATGTACACATAAAATCCACACCCAATCCATTCATTCAGGGAGCCCCAAAAATTGCTAGGTATTTTATCAACCATGATCTTCATCAGCTCATAGAAATGCAGTTTTTTTCCCCAGAGAATCATGCTTAAAAACTATCTTAGCAGACACAACCAACACTGTCATTGATAGATTAAGAACAACATAAGTTTGAGTCAGATATTAAAACTAAAACGTCCAGTGTAATTTTCATTTAAAGCTATCTGCTTAGCAAAAATTTCATTGAATTCAATGTTCAATGATTAGACATAAACGCCACAGGCAAGTAGGAGGAACAAGGACCCAAATCCCTGCCAAGAAGATAGACACATAAGCATAAGTTTACAATATAATACCAGTTTCATGACAAAAATGACTGTAAAAAAGGAAATGCAAATAATACATCCCATACCAAGAAGACTGATGCCACTGCTCCAGTTATCAGCTCCTGCACAAGGGAACGGGTTTTACGAGAAGAGGTTGCTTCATAACTGCAAATAATACATCCATTTGTTTGAATGAATAAAGAGGAAGTAAGATACAATGATAAGCTGTCACCTGAACATTCATTGATATGATTAAAGCTTCAAGGATCACACTGCATCACTAATATTTCACAAAAAACATACGACAAAGTCCAAGCCAAAACACATACCTACCTATCACTAATACGTCACAAAACCAATAATAACATTCATTTCCGGGGTCACACACACACAGAGAGAGAGAGACATATATATATATATGCCTACCTCAACTACAAAAGTTTACCCTTTCACGACAATCACCTCTGCCTCATGAGATTACACAAAACCAATCAACAGAGGATGATAAACCCACACAAAGATTTTATTTTATTTTTGGATTTTTGAAGTACAATTTGTTGTTGTTACAGAGAGAAAATGGGGCATGTTTAAGACAGATGGGAGTTTAAAAAAATTGCAAGATCCAATCAGCTCATGACGTGTATAAGCAATCAGGTGCTTGTGCATTAACTGATTAACAACAGATGGACAAAAGGGGCCGATTCAGTTGAAGGGGTTTATATGCGAACGACCAAAAGTTGAAGACAATTTTGCTTCAAATAAACTACTTAAGCATCCTGAAAAGGATACCTATAGGATTACCCTTGGCATAGAAGAATGTTCTTCTCTAAGCACTTTTGTTCAAACTTGATGAATTACATCCTATACATGCAAAATCTCTCACCCCATGCAGCCAACAGATTTAAGATTGTTCCTCGTTTGGGAACCAACGAGTAAAATCTGCATCCCACTAGTGAAATGCATTTCTCAAAAAACTCCTCCATAACTAACAATTCCCCCTCCATCTCGCAACCAAAATTTGACTTGGTATTCGCTACCACTAACTTGGACCACCGAAGCAACAAACTGATAACATTTTCACTGATACGCACGTAATAGTTATAAGATCGCTAGGTAAATCAAATCCAGTGTTCCTTATTATGTTCAGTAAAATTCCTAATATTCATAAATCCATCCAAATCCTTTTACAATTTGCAGGTTAATTTCCCTAATTGATATGATACATACAAATCCTCTTTAAATTCGGAATAAGAAAAATAGGGATCAGATCGAGATGGGAACTTACATGAAGAAAGAAGCAGTTAAGACGAGGCCGATGGCGAGCGTGAACACGGAGAGGGTGGGGTACCAGGAATCAGGGACGGGACTAGTGATCGCTTTTGGAGCCTTCCAGAAAATGCCCAAAATTAGATAGAGAAATGAAATTGAAATAAAAAAAAAAAAAAAAAAAAAAACCCTAGAAACGAAATTGAAATTGTGAGGATTACCATGAGATGAGACAATGTGGAGATTACAGCCTCGGATCTAACCTTCAACAACTGCTGCAGAGTGAGTACAAAGAATAAATAAACCCTCCACACTCGCTGACTCTCGGTCTCTACGTATATTTACTGTTTCCTCTCCTCGCCTTCAAGAGCAGCTATAAGCCCAACTTACAAGGCCCAAACCGGGTTAACAAATTAAATTCTATTCTATCTCATTCCATGATGATAACTTAAGAGAGTGACTTCAAAGTGGTTTACTCACTCTAAAATGAAAAATATTAATTCATGACTATGATTTATATTTGAAATATCAAATATTGATTTAATCAGTTAAGATAAAAGGGCAATTTAGTTAGACGACGTGTTGTGTACGAAGCTATTTCTCTAAGATCTTAGGTAATTTTAATACTATGTCACCAACTTATGAAAACGTATATGACGAAGTTATAATTCCTGGCTGGAGGTTTAATTTAGCAATTACATTAGATTCTTGTATCGTACCTCTTTGGTTTAATTTTGTGTGTTGTATTGGACAATGGAAGTCCTGGTCTGAATTTTATAATGTGCTCCAGGACCATCGTAGTTCTTCCATTTAAAAATTGACACATATAAAAAAAATTCTCTTCTCTCTCCTCAACTTTTTCTTTCTTTCTCTCACCTCAATCCCACCTAACCTTTTTGTCCGAGAGCAGTGTAGCTTCGCTCGTCCCAATCAAGTAAAAACACAACTTCAGTAGTTAAAGAAATTATTGGTTCCCGAGAGGAAATTCTCCTCTTTCCTTCATACCAATTTAAACATGACAAATCACCTTTTAACCAAATTATGGATAAATTTCAGTCCAATTATCCACTTCTATTTTGGATTAACTACTTATATTAATTGGACGTAAGAGGAAGGGGGAGCATTTCTTTCATGAGGAAGTAAGAATCCCTCCTTCAGTCATCTTTTACCATCAAGGCCAAGTCGCATTGCTTCCCCTCTTCAGAGTTGGTACCACTTACAGAATAATTTGCAAGTTAGCAGCAAAGCACACGGCAAAAAAATTAATTTATTGTTTTTTTAATAAAAAATCACGAAAATGTAGTCGTTTTGAAATTAATTATGAAAATATAGCAGTCAAACACGTCAACATGAGCGTGTTCCAATAAAGAGAAACACGCCTATGTGGGGCGTGACCTAAGCGTGAGTCACGCTCACATGGGGCGTGACCAAGTTGGAGGGAGACATGCCCTATTTGGGCATGTTTTACTAGGTGCTGTCACGTGTCACAAAAGTCAATAATTTGATCATAAAACTTTGAAAGTCAATAACTTTTGACTCGGGTATTCGAATTAGATTTTTTTTTATTCCATATAACTTTTCGAGATCTACGTAATGACACCTCATTTGGCATATTTTGTCTCACAAAAAAATTTGAATTTTATAATCATGAACAAAAACTTAAAAATCAAAATTGATAATAAAGTGTTTTTCATGTGAAATGCTTCAGTTCAATGGAGGTTGCCTAGTTGCTTTTCTCCATTTTTGGTAGCATCTGCTGGCCATCTTCTTCAGATAGTGATTTATGGATAATAAAGTGTTTTTCATGTGAAAAAAAAAAACATTCTGGAACATCATTAATCACCTCACGTGTTTTCAGATTATTAATCGTTAATGTGACTTCTGTGACACATAATAAATTGTCCTAAAAAAAGTGATGTTTTAAATTAGAGAGATAGATAGTTAAGGAAAAAAGAAAGGATCCAATCATATGTCTCGGTAAAGATAAAGATTTAAATAAAAGGACTCAGTATTCAGAAGAAGGGAGTTAAGTGACTAATTACTTCGGGACATTGATTATATTGACGTCATTTTACATAAATTACGGATACCAAATATTTTTCTAAACTGTCATGGTACCATAGTCCTTGAGTGATATAGCTACTATGAACGGGACACGTGCCACATTCTCAATGACGTGTGAAGCTTAAGTGGACCAAAGTTGCTACATGGTGTAGCGACTTTGGTGTGTATGTGACAAGTATCCATTTGGCCATAGTCATTGAGTGATGTAGCGACTTTGTCTGCGAAATTATTTTTTATTCCTTGCACCATAGTCGCTAGACAAGGAATCAACTTTGGCCTATTTTTTGTCTGGTCCATAAATGACATTTGTCATATTATGTAAAACTTCCCGTGAAATATAAAATTGATAATCACTAAAAAGAAGTCAAGCAAATTATTACCTCCAAGGCATTATGATTGCTTTCATATGACTTCTATGGCCGAGGTTCCAACACAAGAATGTCTCCCTACTCAAAAGAAAGGTTACATTTTTAACATATACAACAGAATATATTTAGAGAAAGGTAGGGAAGTATGTGGGTAGTTTTGCAGAGTCATGTACACTATTAAATCAGTCAAGTTCAGATAACGAATCCAAGCTAGAACAGAGAGAAGGACAGAAAAAAGGCATTGATTGGTGTGGAGATTGGAGAGATGGAACCTTGAGAAAGAGTGAAGAAGAAAACACGCATGATTACCCAAATAAAAAGAAATGAAGGGAATTGCTCGTCCACGGACCATAGTTGCTAGACAAAAAATAGGCCAAAGTCTTATCGAGCAACTATGGTGCAAGGAATAAAAAATAATTTTGCAGATGGCCTAAATCGCTACATTACTCAATGATTATGGTCAAATGGACTACACTTGTCACATACACAATAAAATTGCTACATCATATAACGACTTTGGTCTACTCAGACCTCTCAGGCTTTTCACTCTATTGAAAATGTGGCATGTGCCCCGTTTATAGTCGCTACATCACTCAGCCATTGTGGTATCATGACAGTTTGAAAAAATATTTAGAATCTCTAGACATTCAAGTATATTTTATAAAGAAACATGGTAGTATGGTCAATGTGCCAATTAATTCACTCCCAACCGTTTGAAACGGGAGGGGAAAAAAGGATTTTAAAATTGTATAAATGGAAGTTGGTGAGAAGAATCCACTGCGACACATAAATGAAAAATGTGAGCCCGTGGCACTCCTTAGACACGAAGCAAAACTTCGGTATATGTTTTTAATCAGTCAGCAAAGGAAATATCAAAATCAAAGATTGTGAGGAATTAGATAATGACCCTGTCCTCCTTAAACCAAGAGTTCTTATGGCAGTTTAGGTTGCTGCATCCAATGATATTTTCAGGTTCATTATTGCCCAACAATTAGTCAGTGAATTTTGACGAACACTGCAATTATTAAATAATGATCCACAAAACTTTCTTGGCACAACCGAGAGTTGGGACACGGGCAATTGAAGAGGCTAAAATTCGACTAGGACTATACTATGAAATTCAATGATTCCATCCCACGGAAGCTTATGCTAAGATTCACAATGTCACAAGAATCGTTAGTCCTGAACACTGATAGGTTCGTGTGCATATGAAAACCGGCAAAACAAAAAATGAGGACCAAAAGAAGACAAAAGCAGGGTCATTGATGGAGGAAAGAAACTTGTACATGAGACATAGAGAGACAAGAAATACCAAACATAACATGAAACAAGGGCGGTGCAGATTTTGACGGCTAGTATTTAGTTTCCCCACTAACAAAATATCTCCGTGATTGTTTTCTTGGATTGTAGTGAAAGGCACCAGCCTCAAGGTGCTGATCCTGAAGTGCTAGTGTGGTACACTGGAAGCTTTGCGGTCCACATGCATCATTGCAACATAACAGGATTGGTCGTATGGGGTCCTAAGCCAACATATTTAGAATAACCTTCATTAAGAGAGTTGTCTCACCAAGCATTATTATATTAGTGGACTCCATTGCTCAGATGCTGTTTCCAGTTTCAGGCAGGATGAAATATTGAAAATGGAGGTAGGACAAAGACAGCATTTTATAGTACCTCACATAAATTAATTTTAGCCCATACCTCAAATGAAACCAAAAAAAAAAGGCAGTTTTGGAGTGAGATTTAATTTTATCTCATACGACTGGGCCACTTCAACAAAAAAAATTGCAGATGTTTGAGCTTGATATTTACGGAATTGCGGTGTAAGATATTGACAATAGAAACTAACCTTATGAAAATTGCTGATGGGCTTCCAAAACTAGAAGTGTTTCATTGTGTTTTGATTTTTTTGTTCTTAAAACTGTTTTGTTCAATAATTATGAAAACAGTTGTTTTTTTGTTTTGAAAGTTAAAAATCAAAGCAGAAAACTAAAACAACTCAGACATGTTCTCTAAATTTGATTCTAAAAACAAAAAAATAATTACAGTTTTTAAAACTTTTTTTACAAGACAGGCTTACCAAACGAGTTTTTTTGTTCTGAAAACTAAAAAACTATTTTTAAAAACAGTAATCAAACAAAGCCCAAGTTTGCGAAAGCTAAGAAATATTCGTGAAATCCACCAACAGCTTCACCGCCATCCAGTCAGCAAGTTTGGTTTGCAAGCTCATTAATCTCATCACATTTAGTAAAGGAGAAATTTTGAATTCCAGAAAATTGATATTGGTAATCTTATATACTCACATTTGATATAAGAATTATTAAAAAAATTACAAAAAAAATCAGATTCCCAAAAAAAAAAAAAATTAAATAACTTTTTTTAAAGCTTTTTGAACCAAAATATTATCCAAAAATACCACCAGAGGGTAATATTCTTGGATTCCAATGACATGAAAAAATTTCACACAACTTTTTGATAATATTTCTGATAAAATTTTGACCACAGCTTTTTAATAACATTTTTGAAAAATTTATTTTTTCAATATATTCCTAGAAATCATGATTCTTAAGGTATAAAAAAATTCTCCTGTCCCTTTATAAAACATATGTCTAGGCTCACAACGCACAAAGAGGAATAAATATTTTATAAAGCACAGGCCGTTAAAGACCATTATCTTTTTCTTTTCGGCATTCTAAAAGTCCACTCCACATCAATGCAAAGAACGAAGAATACACCCCATATAGACAAGTCCACTCAATCTATGAAAATACTCTCTTTGGTTTTTAAAGTCCAAACCCCACAGAATTAAATATTTTCCACATTGAGACCAAAAAAATAAAAGAAGCCTGGACAATGAACCCAAAGGAGCAAATTACGACGACCAGTGTATACATGGCACCAAAGACCTGGGCATCCCTTTGTTCTCTTTCCACTTACTCCACCCTTTCTTATCTTTGTCCTTTGGTACCGCTCCTTACTGTTTCAGAAAATAATGCTTAACAACTTTCATGGAATAGCCCATAGGGTAAAAGAGTTTCATCCAATGATTCAAACCACTTGCAAGATCCAAATGAATTGCCACCTCCTTTTCCAATATAGTTTTATATTACACAGATACATTTATGCTCTTTCCTATAGTCGTTAACTCCATCCAACAAGGCCGAACATTGAAGAAAATTGGGCCTCCAGCAGTCTAGTGGTCTCTTGACTCTAGTCATTCGAATTAGCGGGTCCATCGAAGCTTAGTAGAGTGGCTGAATATGGTCCCTTCAGGGCCACTGGGCAAACATTAGGATTATTTTAGTCTCTGATTATATCATATGACTAGAAAAATACGAATGAAAAGGCACAATTAATTTCATAAGAACAATAACAAGAACATAAATCAGACTACATATACCAAAACCACTAGCATCTACAGAATTGAATATCCATAAATGGGTTGAAGCCGATGAGAAAATACACAAATTATTTGTCAACAAATACAAACTTTAACTCTAGGCAAATGCAAGTACAAACATTTTAAGATCAAACATTGAATAAAAGGACATTAATTCACTAGTTGAAAGTCAAAACAAATCTCCTCTCACCCTCAACCTCCCTGCCTCTCAAAACAAATACAAATACCTTCTCAATTTCTTATATAAAGAAGGTGGAAATCCAGCCTGTTTCCAAACTTGGCTGCTACGGCTGCTCGTCAACAGATGCATATCGCCTAAGTGATGGAATAGCCACTTCAGCTTGGTGATTCTTAGCCTGAAATATATAGAACAGCAAGGTTGAGGCGTCTATATAATGTTGCGTATTATAGTCACACAAAAATTGCCACCCAGGTTTAAAGAGTTACAAGCTAACGGAAAGTGAAGCTCACCATAGGAACTGCTGATAAAAAAGTGACAAATTGGAAAGCAGAAAGACTATTAAGTCTCCTAAGAACCAATTAATTAGTAAAAAAGAAAAATAGCAAAATCAGTTTGTTCCAATAATCAAGCAAACTGGAATTTGATGAATACAAAATTAAACAAGTGTGCACCTTTCAGTTTGGTATTCAGCACCCAAGCAATTGGACATATAACCCAAAGTTGCACTTGGAATCACCATAATAATGATGGCATCGCTGTAAAATGAGAATTTAATGCATGAACAATCAACAGTTTGGATCATATTCTTGAAACCGGCTCTTGAAATCTTCAACTATTTTCATTTCTTCATCTTTGCTATGTTTGTTAATCCTCCAATCTGCATTATCTGCCATATTAAGCAACCCCGCCAGAACCTGATTCATATCACAAGTTTTAACTCTTATGGATAGGTAAAAGAGTCGTAAGCTTATAACAAAAGCATGCTAACCATTGATACCTCTTCCTGAAAAAGAAATTGATAAGAAATATGTTGATGTGATTCTGTATTTACTCAGTACATCGCGTTTAGAAGGCTACCTCACGTCCAAATTGGGCAGGAAATCTTTCTTTCTCCTCAACATGATGCAGCAGAATTGTGTCTCCTGGGACTTCAGCATAGAACAAGCTTGAGTTCCCATCGATTTGTGTCTTCAAAAACTTTCTTCCATCAGAAATACTATCAACTGAGTCGCAAAATTGAACATAAGGATGCAGCAAAAGCCCAAAAACACCAAAAAAAATATATTCAAAATGTAGAGCATTTTCCCAAATAAATAAATTGAAGTTGGTTTTTTTCAAGTCAGATAAACAGTAAGTGAGGATTGGTAACAATGCACTGAAAAAGAAGAACGTAAAGGGGGAAGCAGGGTTAAGAAGAACTGAATGGATTCAGGTCAGAAGTGAGCAATATAAACAATGAAATATGAAGCATGCCCTGAAGATTAATACTTACATTTCTTTGCCACGAATTTAAATCCCAACTTTTGGGCAGCTAAATTGAATACTTTTTCAACAATAACTGCTTTGGAAGATGGAATGGGAATGGCCTACACAAAGGATAGAAAGTCAATGAGAGAGACAATATAAAACTATAGTCAACCAAATAAAACTTAAACTAATATAGTCATCAAGGAGGGAAAAAATGAAACTTAATTAACAAATCACTACTGTTAGAGCTGAAATTAGCAAACCAGCAAAACGGAGAACAGATTGGATATCCAAAGTGGAATTAAGCAAATTATATAAAACAGGAAAGTGGACAGGCATGAAAGGTAGGGAGGACGGGGAGGCAAGCAAGCTCATTAAATAATTGAAGTGCAAAGAGCATGTACTTGTCAGGATTTCAACAAGCTTTGCTATTAGCAACAGAAACTTCCTTTACCTGAAGATTGGCATGAGTGCCACGTATGGAAACCCACTCAAAAAAGATGACTTCCTTTCCTTGGTTCTTGCAGTACCTTTTGAGACTGTTCTGAAACCTAAAGAGCTCAAGTTCAGATTCAGAAGACAGCGATAAGGTATTTGGCATATGCTCAACTGGTATTATCAGCACATGGTCTTCAACGAGTGGACCTTTAGCCAGTGCCAAGTAGTAATTTTCCCCAATGCTTATGATTAAATGCGACTCCACATTGGGGCTTGACAAGCAAAACCAACATTCTTTTGATCTGCAGTTGTATTGTAGGATAGATTTGTCAATAACAAAAAGATTGAGTGAGCAAGAAAAAATCAAATAAACAGAGATGGAGAATAAAAAATCGAATTTTAGTCTATTAGTATCAGTATAACCTAGAAATTCACAAATCAAGTATCACTATGTAACATGATGCACATTAATTATAGAATAAATAAAGTCAAAAGACATACCTGCTAGACCTAGTATTTTCAGATCCAGGCATCCTGGAAGGAAGCCTATCACCTTCATCCTGCAAGCTGTGCATAAAGTTGCAATCTGGACCCCTTTCACATTTTCCCTTGTTCAAAAAATCAAAACAAACACCTCTCATACACTGCTCTCTAGCATCTGTGTCGTGTCGAAAATTGCACTCCTCTCCTCTTGGACAAGAGCCAGAAGATACAAATTTGAAACACATCTTATCACCATCTCCAGATTTGTGTTTCTGTCGCTTTTGAGAAACATCATATCTCCAATATTGAGAATCAGATATACTTTCGCTGGATCTCTTTGTGGAATCCTTTGGAGAAGATTTTTTATCCACAAATGTGTATGGCGATAAGGTGGTATTTGTGGTTTTCATGGCAATCTCAGCTGAAGACATGGTGGATGCAGGTGTGGGAGAAATTGCATGAATAAATTTCTGGAATGCAGAAGCGAAAATTTTTACAGCTTTGAAAAGCTATTAACCATTTAGAGAGAGATAAAAGGGCTAGTTTATTTTCTCCATCAGAAAAATACAGTACTATCTGAAATAACAATACCATATCTAATTATTTACTAGATTAGTTCCTACCTCTTCGTCTCCCAGTTCCTACCTCTTCGTCTCCCCCCACCCCCCCCAAAAAAAGAAGAAGCTATCCACTCTCCAGAAAGTCTAAACAAAGATATATGTATATATAATAAACAGCAACTGGTGACACACACACATATAGAGGGAGAAGACACTTGCGCATAGCAGCTCATGGGCATTCCTTTAAAGAATAACCCATTTCCTATGCAGGAAATATCAAAAGCACCACCAAAAGAAGAATCATGATGTCGATGAACAACTAATCAGTAATCACTATCACCAATGTTAAAGAATTTGTAAGTTTCAATTAAATAAAAACAATAACAGAAATATGTATGATAAATAAGAATAGCCAAACCTGCTTATCTCTATTTCCAACAGATGCAAGTCCTATGAAACGAGTGATGTGCACAGCATCAACGTTGGAATATGGTTCACGCACATAGTATATACCTTTAGTGCCTGCAATGTGATAGCTACCAAAAAAAAACAAAATATCATAAGAAAAATAAATACAATGATCAAAGTCAGGCCTGTTTTTACAAAGTCCACAAGAGAATCCACAAAAGGCACATTTGGCATAACACATCTTCCAGAAAACAAGACACAAATCCTGATCTAGTGAATAGGATTTAAACTCCTATGAGCAAGATCGTCATGAAGTTCTCTCCAAGTCTTATAATTTTAATTAATCTTCTGGCCATCAGTCCAACCAAATCCCATTTTCTTTTTACAATTTGTGAGAAGGATTACAAATATAATAACAAAAATTCTATCCTATTACAGATATAATAAATATGATAGAACACAAAAGTCACAAAGGCACCTGATGCCCTATCCTGTCAAAGGTTAAAGTGCACAATCCCACCAAAAATCATGAAATAAGGCTTATGCATACAATTCCATATGTTAAATAGAAAATGCTCAAGTCCTTTAACACTACTATGATTGCACGTGAAACTTTTAGCAAGAAATTGTATCCGATGCTCTTTTCTTTATTTCTATATAACAATTACCGCGGTTTAATCTCTTCTACTAACTCTGATATGGTTGAATCGCTGCCTGTAGAATCCGAGAGCCCAGCAGGAATGTCTGAAGTAGCTGCTCTATTTGTGACCCCACTTGGCCATTCGTTAGTAACAATGAATCAAGGAAGTTAACAAATAGATTAATTCCTATAAAACTAGCAAGTGGTATTGAGGCCAGGAAACAGCATAAATGAGAATAGGAAAAACTTAGTGCACATCAATTCAAGGATATGTCAAGAACAAATCAACAATCTCAGGTTCCTCAGCTATTGCTCGCAAAGCATCAACATCATCCTGACTGAATGTTCCAAACTGTTGAATACCTGGTGATTTCCTACCAGATAAATAGGCCACGGATAACCCTGTATATAAGAGCGATAGCAAAAGTATATTTTCAGCGAAGCATTTTGAGGGAGAATGAAATTCAAATTGAATAAAAGTGCAATATGCAGAAGCTAAGTATAGGAAGCGTACCGAAGAGAGAGAACTTGCCACTGCCTTTCAACCAATACAAATTATCGCAAACCTTCAAGCCATCCATCTTGAAACCACGGTTGGCGATGTCTTTGGAAGCTGACAATAAAATTTTAGGGGCAGCGACGCCGTAGTCGCCGATGAAGTAAGTTGGGAGGGGAATCTGGGACCCACCTTCAATGTAAGCCATCATCTCATCGACCTGTTCTGGTGACTCAGGGAAGAACTGACCCACGCACAACACCGCGTCGAATGGACCCGCAGATTTGTTCACCTAAAATAAAACAACAATCACTCGATTTAAGTGCAACTCATAATAAAAAACAAAACCCTAGAGAGAGAGAGAGAGAGAGAGAGAGAGAGAGAGAGACCGATGACACGCGCTTAAAGAGCTGGTTCAGATGGCCCAAAACGTCGCCGCATAGTAGGATTCTAGGAGCCATTAACAGAACTAGGAATAGAGAAAAGGAGCTTTGATACAGACGAAGACCACACTCAACTTACGTGCAGCTCTTCTTCACTCTTAGCTTAGCAGACCCCGCGTTAAACGACATTGATATTTTAAATGTGACGCACTTTAAACGAGATGTCGCTTACACTTCGGAGGAAATACAAAACGAGTATATTCAAGCTCAACACTTTAAAGTTTAAACACACGCTTGATCATTACGAAGAAAAATCAAAATCAAGCAGGTTATATTTATTAATTTTTTTTTCTTATCATTACTTTCATTATCATAGAATTAATTCTATTAAATTTTATTATTTTGATCAACAAACTAATTGTAAAAGGCGGTAAGAATAAAAAGACGATATCAAATTGTGTTCCAATCTCTATAATATCATTTTTGGCCGGAATTTAAAGTCTTAATCTTGGATCCGTCCGAATCTGTTTAATTGCGAAGCAATAAAGCGATTGAAATATTTAAAAAAAAAAGAAGACAATAAGCATAATATATCCCTTAACTTATTCATTTAAATGAATTAATTAAAAATTTTGAATTTACTTATTTAAAAATGCGAAACTTGAATTTATATCGTTAAATTTATTTATTGTTTATTATTTTTCTTTAACGGATTTTTTCTTGAACTACATTTTGCATCTATTAATTTGATATTTAATAAATGTTTTCAATTGGAAAGTAAAATAATAAAAGAATTTTTAAATTAAAAACTTACTAATTATAATTTTTTGTATAGAATTTCAATATAAACACATGTGAACAAAATTTTAACGTTAAGTTCATGAAATTTAAAATCAATTTCTTTTGGTACAGAATTTAAAGTTATTTATTTAATAAAACAACCCATCGATTGGGCTGGCCCAATTTCAACGTGACTCCTATGGGTACTAAATTAGGCGTATTTGCCTCGACTCGTAAAGATTTGAATTTACATGTCTAAAATTGGTTGTTGACACCAGACTTAAACTTGTATAAAGATTCATTTAATAAAAAGGCCTCAGACACCAATTCAAAAGCCCGGCCTTAGAACCTTTAGGCTGACATAGTATATTATTTTTTTATTTTATATTTTTTATGCTACTTGTAATAGCCCTCTCTTTCTGGCTTTTTGACTCTTATAACCCTTTAGGTATAATTAATTACCAATTGCCCTTCCTTATAAATTATTTTGAAAATTTAATCTCCTCAAAAAACATAACACCAATCTATCCATGTTTGACCGTTGACCACCAAGCCTACCCGGGTACACCCCTCCCTACCCGAGTATTTTTTGAAATTTTTTGCCTACTCGGGTAGGGAGGGGTGTACCCGGATATACTTATTGACATCTGAAAAATTGCTTGAATTATTTACCCGGATAAATCTAAGACAATATTCATATTGTTACATAAGCAGCACAACTGGGAGTAACTAAATTCTTAAATATTACAATTACAATGTAGTGTTCTTTCTAATCTTCTCAGCTGGTAAATTTTCCCAAAATACCACTACTTAAATATAGCATTTGGCTATTAAAATTAACAATTAACATCAAGTTGAAATGGCAAAATAAAAAGAATCACGAATACCTCAGAACCTTCATTTATGCATTCATTATACTTCCTTGTCTTCAAGTAACAGGACATCAAGTTAAGTGAGCATGCCAAAAGAAGTTTCCTACTTTGAGAAGATGGAATATCTTTTATGTTTTCCATTGCCTATAATATAAAAAAATGAAAACAGACCAAAAAACTGATAATTTCCTTAGAGTCTCCAAAATAGGGATAAACAAGATAAAAAGGTGTGGGGAAGACAGTTAAGAAGTCACAAACACTTGCAAGCATATACTTCTGTAAAGCATCATTGAACCTTCCTTGATTATGAAGTTTGTAAAAAACCTTGAGGTCACCACCCCAAAAGCTAGCTCAAAGGGTGGGAGTGCCCAAAGCCTTATAAATGCCACATTAGTTGCACATACAACCAATGTGGGACTATATATCTCAACACGCCCCCTCACACAAGAGCCCATTGGACTTTAAAGTGGACAATGCAACAGGCTCAGCATACCTGTGCTAAGAAACGCCACAAGAGAACGTGGGGGACGGCGACGCTCTGATACCATGTAAAGAACCTTGGGGTCACCACCCCAAAAGCTAGCTCAAAGGGTGGGAGTGCCCAAAGCCTTATAAAGGCCACATTAGTTGCACATACAACCAATGTGGGACTATATATCTCAACATGTCCCCTCACTCAAAAGCCCATTGGGCTTTAAGAGTAGACAATGCAACAGGCCAGTAGACTAGACAGCCACTGACATGTGCAACTAAACTTGATTGGGCTTTAAGGGTGGGCGTGTTGAGATATATAGTCCCACATTGGTTGTATGTGCAACTAATGTGGCCTTTATAAGGCTTTGGGCACTCCCACCCTTTGAGCTAGCTTTTGGGGTGGTGTATCCCAAGGTTCTTTACAAAGTTCATTTCCCTGCAAAACTTAAATTTAGTTCATCAAGCCACACAGTAGACTAGACACCAACTGGAGCTTTACAGAAATTGAAAAATAGTAATCAGTTATCAGGGTAGTAAATCGAGTAACATTTCATGTCTTATCATGCAATGACAGCAAGTGTATTTTCTGATCAGATCATTCTATGGAACTAAAGTATTATTCAAATGTAATTTTATTTACGAATCTTTCTCAGAGCCTACATGATTTTGGAAAAGGATTGCCCGCAGGGCGTCATCACTTGGCTTTAGTAGATAATTTGGGCTTTAAGGTCTACCACATGATCATAATATGCTTCCATCAGGAAAAATTATAATGTATTCTTAATGACTCTTTCAAACTACAAATAGGGCATACTGCAAAAACAGTGGAACTTACACCAGCTTTCTTTTTCCTATTCAACATAGATTCATCTGATGTCAAGAATTTACCCGGGTACACCCCTCTCTACCCAGGTAAATAATTCAAGCAATTTTCCAAATGTCAAGAAATATACCTGGGTACACCCCTCCCTACCCGGAATACCCGGGTAGGCTTGGTGGTCAACGGTCAAACAGGGGCAAATTGGTGTTATGTTTTTTGGGAGGTTAAATTTTTGAAATAGTTTATAATGAAGATCAATTTGGTAATTAATTATACCTAAAGGGTTATAAGGGTCAAAAGCCCTATCTTTCTCCTTAATCCATTTCGCCCTATTTTATTGGTTAAACAGACCTTTTGAATGATTTTGTTCTATATTATGTTGTTTTGATATAGATTTAATTTATGAATATTAATGAAATTACTAGTGTTGTTGATTGTTATTTTGTTTGGATAAATTGTTGTTGTCTTATTTTTTTTAAACAGGCTGATTACAAATCAGACTTTTATTTTTTGTAAAGAAGTGAGACCACATGCCGATAATTATATTTCTAACAGGTAACAGGCTGACATATTTAAACACAGACTTAGCCTTTTAAGACCAAAGCTCTGCTCGACTCAGCCCGTTAACTCCCCTAGTAACTCGTTTAATTATAACCAGGATTTAATCAAGGCTACTATGCATAATTCTTGACCTTTAAACTTTAGAAAAAAGACAAGAGATTAGAACCTTAGAATAAAGTAAAGAACTAAACCCACCAAGGGATAGAAAGTTAGTTATATTAGAAAGAATTGTCAATAATTAATTACAAAATTTAAATGCATGAAAGTTGAACTCGTTGAGAAACTACCGGAAAAATCGAGTTCTTAACTATGCCTTTTATTAATTAAAAGTTAAAAATTGTTCTGTTCGCATTATTCATTATTGAATTCAGTTCTTGATTTCTTAAATATTGAAAGTAAAAAAAATAAGTTCTTTAAAATTCCTTTTTTACAGTTAAATTCATATATTCAACAAATTCATTTTAAGATCAATTCAACTTTAATCACTTAGATAAATTGTTGCTTGATAATCAATCATCATAAAATCGACAACCTTACTTTTATTATTTAATTACTTTATACCACCGATATACTTCTCGAAGTTGCAATTTAAGATTAGACTCTATCCTTTATACATACGTCTCTATATTGACGTTTCTTTAAATAACGAAACACAAGAAAATTTCTCCTATGCCATAATTCTATTATAAACATTTCTTTAAATGCGTGAGTCATAGTCTTCCACTGGACCTATATGCTACGTGGTACGAAGCTATTTTTTTTTTATACACACAAAGCTAGTTTTTATTGGTCGTTTATTAATATTTAGTGAATATTTCAATCAGTTTATTATTTTATGTTATTTTGATTCGACATGAATTACGAAATTTTAAATCTCTTCAAAAAATAATATTTTTACCCCTAACTACTTAATTTTATGACGCCAACGGAAGTAGCTTTTATATATGATTTGCTTATCAATCCTAATGAGTCATAATTTGGTGTATGAAAGTAGCTAAGAGCTGTCTCTTTTACTATTTCTCTTTCTTTAATTAATATTTTTATAAACCGGACTGTACGTTATTTTATAATTGGGTTTATTATTTCTATGAGATAAATTTATTTTTATATATATATAAAAATATGTGGGATCTATATAGATCCATATGAGAAAAAAAATTGCAAGCCACGAATATTTTTATATGTGTAGGAAATTAAATTATTTTTTATAACATAAGAAATAATAAATCATTTATAATTTCATATTCAGAACATGAATAATGATCTTAAGAATTTATGATTTTTACTTTTTTATAGGTTTATATTTTATTTTATTTTTTGATAAAAATGGAGGGGTGATGTATCTATATATTACTGATATACAAAACATATTCTTTCTAATAATATATATATATATATATATATATTGCTAGTTCGGCCCAATAATGTCAGAACCGGTCCGGCCCGACCGGTTCGACCATTTTGAAATTCGAACTCGAGTTTTATGAAGATGCCCAACAATAATTTATTATTGGGCTGAGTTTGTTTGTTAGTTAATATGTATCATTTAATATATATTATATCATTTAATATAATTATTTCAAAATTGAATCTAGTGGGGATGAAACCCTTGTTATGAAGATATAAATTATAATAATTACCA